CAAAACTCATGTTCTATTTACAATATACAAGTCACTTATACTTTCTAAACTCGACTACGGACCCTTCATTTGGACAACGGCACATAAATCAATATTAAAAAAACTAGATACAATCCACAACTCAGGTCTTCGTATGTCAATCRGCGCTTACCGTTCAAGTCCAATACCCTATATAATCTTGCCAATACACATTCTCTAGACATAAGAAGACTCAAATTAACATTTAATCATGAATTAAAATTAGCAAGTACCCTTCCCACTATTGACTTCAAACCATTATTTCAAATACTGCCATCACTACTCCAGGAGAACAATCTTGATATGTCTAAATTACTCACTATTACCCCCTCCCTGACACCCCAATGGAAAAATTTCATCGAAACCAACACTAATCTCTCCATATTTAAAAAAGGCGACACACCCTCTGCTATCTTCAAAAACGAATATTTTCACACAATACAAAATATCACAAGTGAAAAAATGTACACGGATGCTTTCAAAAGCCAAGACGGTGTCGGCGCTGCAGTCATTTGGAATGACGCGGAGTTCTTATATAAACTTCCTAACTCTTGCTCAGTTTTCACGGCCAAATCAATAGYCATTTTAAAAGCACTCGAGATAATATCCGATCATCACCTACAAGACACCATCAGGGGCGTCATTTGGGGCGTGGATGGATGTGCGGTTGCACCCCTTACTTTTAGAATGTTACAATTGGCCTGCGCTTTGCTGAAGCCTAAAATAATGTACGAACCACGAATGCACAATTATTTATATGATTAAAATCAAATTGTAATAACTGGTCTATAATGTATGGAAATAATTAATTGAATGCAGGATAATAAACMTATACGTATGTATATCTATTTTTATATGGCCTGGTGAAATTTCAAAATGGCCTGCTTGAAACTTCGCACACCCAAAAATAGCAGTTGAAAAATAAAAGAAATATATATGAATAATTTTTTTTTTAAAGCATTCAAAGTTTGAATTTTTACAAAATACATAAAAATCACGAAAATTCGCAAATTAAGATTTGAAAATTTAATACAAGGCGCCTAATATATTTTTACAATAGCGGTTGAAAAATAAGAGAAATATATAGTCACAAATTTTTTTTATAAGCATTTACAGTTCAAATTTCGACTAAATACATAAATATTACGGCAATGTTCAAATTATCTTAGATAGAAATTCATAAAAAATTTTCTTTTTAAATCTATGATTTGAAAATTTTTAATTATCTATAATATATCCTAGACAGATAAACCGTCTCCGTTCAGAATCTTTTTTCGTATACAATGATACTTATCATTGCATTCGAATTTAACCTACATTAGTCAGAGGTCCCCACCTAACCCCCCATGTACAGCAGAGCGTGTCTGCATGTCATCACGTTTTGGGGCAGTAAAAGTGCTTCGATTTTTGACTTCAGTACCTCGTTCGATCAAAATGTGAATCTAGTTGGTACTTTGGGGAGTCAAAAATTCTTAATATTTTTTAAATAATCGGAATAAACAAACTAAAAATTAAGGGGAAAACGGGAAATTTTACGCACAATCAGTTTTCGACAAAATCGATTTTGGTTTTTGATGTAACTTTAAAACAAATTACCATAGATATATGAAATTTTTAGCTACTTATTTTTAATATTTTTAAACTGATATTGT